CATTAGAATTATAATTCCAAGTGGTTTAGAAGCGGAGATATAGATAAACATAGGTTTTATTAGGCGGCCATTTTGAAATCCAAGATGGCCGCCATAATGACCTCGGATGAGGTGGTTCCTACCAAAAATTGAATGCTATGACCATAAGGAGCATGTAAAAAAAAATTGGTGCTTTTGTCCGGAACGTCCACATTAAGTCCAAATATGGCCCTAAGCTGCCGTACTAATACTGATCATATACCACTACAGCAACTGATAACTGCTACAACAGTTTGTTATCAAAATTAACATTAAAAGACAGCGATTGACTTATAAAGCAGTTAGTAGAGCATGCATTGTACACTAGCGGAAAATTATTATACGTAGGGTAAATTGAATGCATTCAGAAACCTCCTTCGGGCCTTGCAGGCCCTCATTGTCCTTATTGGACTGTGGGAGATAGGCACTAACACAATTTTTTTCAAACATTAAATTTAACCTTTGTATAATAATTTTCCTATAGTGTACTATGCGGAGCTCTACTAATTGCTTAATAATAGTATAGTAATTATAATATTACAGTGTCTGTGTTTAATGAACTCTATATACTTTCTAAACTTCTAAATCAACAGAAATAATTGAAGTGAATACCTTTCACAATCTTGATGAGAAACACCAACACATTATTTTAAATGATTGAATGTAGTCCCCTAGCTCTGTGGCATAATTCCAGTGCTACCTTTACTCTAAACTCTGGCCCTTGGTTGTTGTAGCTAAGGTCTCACAAAAGGACACAACGGGGAGTTGGATGGCCGAGCGGTTAAGGCAAGGGCACTGCAACCTACAGCCATAAATATCAGCACTGGTTCAAATGGCACGCTCGCCTATGGTTCTGGTGGTGGAACAAGTCTTCTTGGATAAGGACTATAAACCATAGGCCCAGCGTACACAGTTTGGCTCGTGCACACTTAAAAGAACCCAGTACATCTTTTGTGACAAGTAGGGGGTTACCCCGGTATACTGGTCCATACAGCCCCTGGTACATACAGTTAGAGTAGTTGGTACCTGTTTACCGGGTAGCTCAGACATGAAGGGACTCTTGGGGAGAAGCAATTTACTGTACGGGCTAGTGCACGCCATGAGTTTTTTTAGACTTCTGTATAAAGCGCTATATAAATCGAACTGCATTACACATGACGGTGTAAAAACATATGCAAATTCCTACGTTTGTGGAAAGGTCAATTGTGAATGCTCCTCTGTAGCTCTGGTATGATTCCAATTCTGAATGCTGTCCTCTATTTGTACAACAATAACATTGTTTAAGGTTGACTTAAATCATGGAGGTATTATAGTAAAATACCTCCATGCTTAAATAGCAATGATTGTTGAAAATTAATTAAATATTATTAACATTTTTTAAAGAAAAATTTCATTTCTCATAGTAATTATTCTCAAGATGGTTACAATAAAGTTGGTTTCTTAAGTTGTCAAATATTCTTGCTATTTTATAAGGTTTAATTCCAACTTGGTGATTGGATAGTGAGCAGTAATACTTAACCAATCAACATACACAATCATCTGATTGGTCAAATTTCCAACAATCAGGTTTTTCCAATTTGAATAATAAGTAGATTATATATATAAAACACAATTCAATTTAACAATGAGGATCATTCACAATATTGGATTTCTTAAATGAAGATTACAATAGCTAGCATTTGAGACAAGAAGTAATTTGTAAAGTATCAGTTTTAGTTATCAAACGCAACGATGGTGGCAAATGAAAGCTCGATTTTTGAAGGGTTCTCTGTTGAATTTTACTTCAAATGTGTAACTGCATTTTTGGGACTTCTTTTCAATCTTTTAATCATGATTATGATTCTTAAGTTCAAGAACTTGCAGACTATACCAAATATTTTTATTTTTAATCTTGCTTTACTGGATTTTTTGAACATGATTCCATTCATGTTGACAAGCATAGCTTTTGAAGCGTTATCTATCTTGTCTGTAGGATTTGCGTTTTGTCTATTTATACAAGGACTAGATATATGGGTAAATTTTAACATTGTTTACATTATTGTCACATTGACCATAGATAGATACTTTGCCATCGTACATTGCATATCAATTCGACAGTACCATTCCAAAAGAAATGCCAGAATTGCATGTGCGCTAACATGTTTGATGTCAATTGGCATTTCTATACCTATGTTGCTTGAAGTAGATGTGTATGAAGAATACGGGATAAATTATTGTGTCTTCAATAAAAACTTGGAATTGTACAGATTCATTTTGAACTACTTGATACCATTGGTCATCATGATTATCTGTTATGTTTTCATCATCAAAGTCATGGTCTCATCACAGCAGATTGATAGGAATAATACCACACGAAAACATTCAAAACGTGTGTTCATTCTCGCTCTCACTATTGTCATTGCGTATGTGATACTGTTTACACCATATTTTATCCACGACCTGCTGGTGTATTTTTCTGAAGGATCATTCTATGAACCAGCGTTTCAGAATATATCTGTCTGGATGCAGTATTCTCACAGTGTAATAAACCCTATTCTGTATACTTTTATCGGAAAGAATTTTAAAAACAATCTTTTAAAGACCTTTCAGTGCTTAGATGCTGCTCCGTGTAAACCAGCTTTTCAAGTTCAATCAAGCTCTTCTAACCGCTTGACATTAACTACCAGCAATCCAAGTTTAGCAATGCAGTCTAAAATATAACAAGAAGTTGAAGGAAAATTAACTTCCTCTTTAAAAGCATCATGTAGGTCAGAAAGATTGACTATGGTTAACGAGTCCAAGCACTTTGTTTAAATCAAGGCAAGTTTGGAAACATAAGAATAGTGCACAGCAAAAGTGCTCAACATATGACTGTTGAAAAGTTTTTAAGTTCTGCACTTCGTAGTTGCGATGGACTTTCGCCGACTGTGAAATTATATCATTAAACCCTTAACACCAGGCTCCAGCTAAGAAAATATTGAAATAGTTGCCTTTTAAGTCACTTTTCTGCATTCTGAGAGATCACATGACTTTTTACAAATTTTTAGATTTTTTTTGTGTGATATACAGTATTTTGTAATATTACTATTTTACATTAGACAGATACACAAGTCAAGGTAGTTTAATACATACTCTAAGTATCGAAATGCACACCATCGTGTCGGGATTCAAGACACAAGTCAGTAACATGAACTACTGCGGAATGAGAAGTGAGGATAGTTTGAGGGCCGTATCAATAAAATGTGGGCACTTTTGCTTGGAAATGGTGGGCTCCTCTGTTATATGACAGGCATGTTAATGACTGTCTCTTCTACAAAGTTAAAAGTAATTATTTTAACAAAATGAGAGGCAGCAATTTTTGAATAGCAGACTGCGATTTAAGATTGTTAATTCGGCAATCAAGGATTTGTTAAATTGGGTTTCGACCAAGTGGAATTGGCAAACTGTCATCAAGTAAGCAGGAAACTTATTTTGAAACCCATTATGCAGCTCTCAATTGTAAGACGCACTATACAACCCCCGGGAAAGGTGCGTCATTTACCGTAATATTTTAATACAGGGTACCGTCAAAAACCCATTTTGGTCAGTCACACTTTGAAAAATAGGTGCGTCTATGTCTGTCATTACAAAATGCTGACATAAACAAATAACGCCCTCTAGCGGCCGATGTACAGAATGACGTAATTTTTAAAAAAATATCATGACCAAAATGATATTCAAAGATCTTATTATAAAATAGCATTCTCCACGATTTTTGCGTGCAATAATAGCGCTGCGTAGGGCCCCTCTTGTAATTACAGTTACTATTAAACTTTGATCTACGTGAAAATTCTTTCAAACAATAGTTAAAAACTAGGACGCCTACTTGGACGCTTCTGTTTTTGTTACACGTAAATCACGGAGTTATGTGATAGATCTTTGATGACATTACAGTACAATGTATGGAATCTTTATTATATAATCTTGTAAAGAAATAGCCATAGTTCTAGATTCTACCGCGTTTGTACGTGTAATGGGTGCCTCATAATGTACAGTCAAGTACAGTCACTTTCAAGAGATGGTCCGTCACAAAATAATTTTTTGGTGCGTCAATTTCACACAATGGTCGGTCACATTTTTGACGGAGGGGTGCGTCATGGCATGCAAATAATGTATGACGCACATTTGACAAATGACGCATGTCGTATAGTGCGTCTTACAATTGACAGCTGCATTAGGCCAGGACTATGGGGTAGCCACCCGGCCAGAGGATATCATCTGCCTCAGTTTTAATGTTTTTGAAATATTTTATGAGAAAGAAGATAATGTAAGCAAAAATTTCAACATTTTAGTATACAGTGTCCGAATTTCACTAGTCCTGTTGTAAGCCTTGGTATACAGATAAATAATTATATAATAATGGTATAATTTGTGTTCATTTTATGCTTGTACAAAATATTATAACAATACGTGTTTGTCATAGAAAGCAAAGAACATTCGTAAAATGGACTACCGTATTGGTGAAATCAGTGTTTGGAGTGCCGGTCGGCGATCATCCCGCGTTTTCCTGGGGGTCACCGTATTCGTGAAAGCCCTTAAAAACCAAAAGGCCTAAGTCGAGCAGGCCTAGACCCAAGGCTAGCTGACACAATTTTTTTAGGCTAGGCCTAGGTAGGCCTAGGCCAGAATTTGAGGAATGCTACAAAACAGATGAAGATGAGACTTACTGTAGGCCTAATTAAATTCAATAGTTGAAATGCTTTGTTTTAGATTAAAAAATAATAATGAACAAATCCCGGCGACAAAGCGTTGATCCGACTGTCAACTTCATGTCTGACGATTACCACGATGAATGAATGTGTATGTCAGCAGCCAATTCATATTCTTGACAGCAATTTGATTGCTGCGAAGCAGCCAATTCATATTCTTGACAGCAATTTGACCTCTGAAAGGTCATTGTTTGTCAAAAAACAAGGGCCTAATAAGACGACTGAAAAGCGGAGTTTCGTTCTGCCGGGTAAAATCAATTACTTTGTAGACTAACCAACACGTACCAACGTCCGCATGTCGCGGTAGCCTTATCCTACTCTAGGCCTAGACTAGCTAGGAGGGTATAGGCCTAGCCTTGAAGGGACGAAGGTCCCAATGAAAAACAACGTTGCTCCTTGATAGCTAACATTGTCTATTTAACATCACAATACTGTAATTCATTGTTAGACCTATAGTTGTTTTTTGAATTATACTCCACTCAGCCGATACCGCGCACAAATCGAGTAACGTCTCGTATTTATTGTCATGACGTCATGGCTCGCTGGCTCACACTCTTGCGATGTCTCGCACTTGTGATCAAATAACACGCTGGCTCGCACTTTGGCAACACTCTTTGGCAGTCAACTCGCCCCTAGAAAACCCGCCCTTGGAAACTTGCCCCATAAAAAAATGTACACTTCCTAGACCATGCAGTCTTCAAAAGGC